GATACTTCTGCTGAAGCTATTTTCTAATCAAACGCTTTCTGCCACGCCAGGACTGCACGTCGTTGTAACATTTTGTAATTTTCATCAGGAAAAAAATAACGGACCGGAAAAGCAATGAGGCGGGCGGCGGACGGGAATGGGAGAGGGAACGGTGCGAAGGACTCTAGTTAAACTGCGAAATATTCCTCTTGAGTAATCTCTCCAAGAGAACTTTGTTAAAAAAATATATATGTATATATATATATATATATATATATATTATATATATATAAAATGTGTATTACACAGCATACATACGCACATACGTACGTAGACACGCCTGCACGCGCGCGCGCAGTCTGCGACACCAACGTGTCCGCGCCGGAAATGAGGATTAACACTGTTCTTAGCCAGCTAGCTAGAATACGTATACATGCGCGCTAAAAATGGACGGAATTACTTAAAAAAAAATACAATTGCGCGCGCATGGCGCCGCGGTAGTACGCAAGCTTCACTATTCTCGCGCACTTTTCACCCTTACCGAAAGTTGTCGTTTGCGCCAGCCTGAGAAACACGAGCAAATAGAAGCAGCGTAAAATCCATTTTTTCTCGCGCCGTCACAACAGTATATCGTCGATGTGCTTTTTAATAATGAAATGTATATATGTCGCGTATATTTGTGATGTTTTTAATTATCGATTGATATGTTCCTTGAGCGAGAAGAAATATAAAGACCAACACACACACACACACACACACACACACACACACACACACACACACACACACACATCTCAACGGGGAAACGTTCGAACTTTTTCGGGAATTACTTCACGCGCATTCCGACAGGAAGGAAAGAAAATTCGCGTTTCTCGATTAAATTTATCTGGACTCTACGGGGAATTAGACTCTTATAGAAATGTTGGACTTCACAGCCGAGACATTTAACGCATTTAATGTTGAATAATACCGCGCGATGGTCACAGCGGTGACTGGTGTCATGTTACTTGAGGTAAACTCGAGAGATTTCTACTCGGCAAGGAGATTCGTTTCCCAAGCCCGTCGGCTCCCGTTGCGACACAAGAGAGAGGGGAGGAAGGAAGAAGAAACAGAGAAGGAAAAGTTTGCCCGGCGACACGTCCCCCTCTTTTCGTCGAATATGATAATTCGATGGGGGCGGGATGTATGTACGCACTTGGGCGCAACTGCGCAACCTAAAAATCCGCGCGGCATGCCAGTGCCCCCCCGTCCCCGTCCCCGTGTTCCCCTCGCAGGAATGCATATTACACGTACGGTTTCCCAATCGCTTCCCATTGTCGCGCGAAAGCGCGCTCGTTCGGTTGGCCGACCGACCGCTCGCGCGAGATTCCGGTCACGATCGGCGATCGAACAATGGATCCTTCAGAAATTGCGGCAAATCGCCCTTATGGCCACGGCGGGCCAGGTCCGCGGGCCGTGGCAAACATTGTTCGACAGGATGAACCGTTCGTGGTGAAAAGGCGGAGCACAATGCGGCGCGTACGACGCGAACGCCGAGAACGACGAACAATGATCTTCCGGTATCCCGTGCGGACGTGCATAAATCACCGATATGACGTCGGGCCAATCGTCGAGCCGTGCGCGGGAGGTCGGTGCTTGTCGCTGGGCCTCGACAACGGCCTTGAAATATCGCTTGCGTCGGCATACCACGACGATTGACTCACGTCGCTGCCGATACAACTGCCTTTCGAAGGTTCAGCGGCGATGGCCGCCGCGGTTCTCATGGTCGGCGATCGTCAACGTACACCGATGAATGCATCTTGATCGCCGTCTTGGTCGCGTCGCGTCGCGCCACGCCACGCGTGCCGTGTGCGATACCTCAGAATCGAAAGCGAAATTAACGCGGGATCTCGTCCGAGATTAAGCTCTCGATATTTTTCGCGATACTTCCTCGCGTGATACGCGGGGCGTAGGACGCGGGGCTAATTAGCGCGCCGTTCTTTTTCGCGTTACGCCGCGCACCCGCGTATTATGTCGGTGAAATTTTCACGCAGGAAGCGAGAAAATGCGAATTTAATTAAACGATATTACATCGCGGCGGTAATTAGTGCCGAGAAAGGAGCGCTTCGCGAATGATGTGCACGGTGCCGAAATCGTATTATAAATAATGTGCACGTCGTAACGAGGGCGCGCTATCGGCGTCGTACGTTAAAATTCATTCAATTATCCCGAAATTCTTCACACTCAATGACCGCACCATAACAGCGGTGATAGCTACGATGTTGTCGTGAGAGAAAGAGAGAGATAGAGAGAGGTAGAGAGATAGAGAGAGAGAGAGAGAGAGAGAGAGAGAGAGAGAGAGAGAGAGAGAGAGAGGAGGGGGAAGGAAAACATTCGCAAAATCGCTTCCGCATTATAAATACGCGTGAGAAAGAAAGCTAATAGGGTCGAAATTTACAAGCGCGTACCGCGCGTTTATGTGTAACGCGTCATACATAGTTATTACATTCCTGAAAAACAGAGCGCTCTTGAAAAAGCTTCGAGGGCCGCGCATCGCAATAAAACGTAATAACGAATAAATCAAAAGGACGCCCTGGCCAATATATTCGATTGAACCGGTTTTGCCGCATCCGTTAAAATCCCACCCCGACTCGTACGCGAGAGACACTCGGACGCGCGACGTTGCGCAAAATGCAAAACACAGAACGATATAATGCGTCAATAAAGCAGACGGTCGTTGCGAGTGCAAGCTGCAAATGCAGTTAACGTGTGTAACTGACATTTTCGAGAAATCAAAAAAGAGGAAGAAAAAAGGGGAAACAGGTCTCTCGGAGGACGGCCGAGATGGTCGCATCATGTTCTGCGACGTACTTTCGATGAATTTTTCATTAATATATCAACGGTATGTATCGCGTGTCTCGGTTATTTTGAGGATGCAGAGAGAGAGAGAGAGAGAGAGAGAGAGAGAGAGAGAGAGAGAGAGAGAGATTGTTTGCGCAACGACCGTCGTTTCGTACGTAAGAATCTCGAGTCACGCGGTGTCCATTATTCTCGCTGCCTCAGTATGCGGAAGTTATTGGTAAGTAAGACGGTTGGGGGAGCGACCGGAGCATTATCTACAAACAGTAGTTCTCCATGGACTAGCTTTAACTTTGGAGTCGGGGCGATCCTCGCCACAAAGCGCGGACAATAGTTCGCTTCGGTTCGGTCCAATGTGCCAGTTCGATTAGTCACATGCTTCGTACCGCGACTTATGGTTAACATCGAACGTTTAAAGCCAAACACCCGCGATCCTTCACCGCATATGTATGCGACTCGGCATTTCGCAGGCGATTCTATGATCTGCCCAAGTCTTCCGAAAACTCTCCCAACAATCGCCCGTCTCACCCGAGCGATCGCCGTGGAAAACTACTGGTAACATATATATCCGGTTTGCGTGACAGTTTACTCATCAACAACATTTGTTCAAGTCCGTTCTTTAGATAGAAATTACCTCAACGACATTCAACGAGGACATGCGATGAGTGTTTAGAAAAACCGTTCTTTTTCACTCTGCGCATTTTGATGCGGAGGAACGATGCATCGCGTGAAATATTGTGAAGAAAGTCAGTCGGTTAATGGCTGTCAAAATTTGGTCAACGAAACGAACAATTATCCGAGTGCCGGATTTATGACGTTGTCAGAAATTAAAGCGGACACGGTACGATTCCTCGGACTCTCATCTCGGTGTGAGCCTCGCCTTTAATACGCGAAACAAAAATTTCAGCTCGTCTCTCATCCGCAGCTGCGGCTTTTCTTTTCTTTTCTGTAGTCTGGCACGTAATAAACGTATCGTGTGTTGTGTCGACCAACACACAGTGAAATTTTTCTCTTATTACCGTCGCACGCGTGTGCGTGTGTTTGCGTACAAATCTAACACTCGCCCTGTACGCCAATTCTAATATATAACGAAAACGGATAATTTGAGCCGACGTTGTTGAAATTGATCATATAAGAGAAAAATAATCGGTTCGTGCCATTTTTCTTTTTTTACGCAATCACATGAAATGAAGAAATTTATATATTTCTTGTTGAATCAATTGTAATTGTAAATTGAAATTGTAATTATATATTCAATGCACAATGATCCAAATTCTCTTGGAGAATATCGTATCTCTTAAAAATATGAGAGTAATTGAGAGAGAGAGAGAGAGAGAGAGAGAGAGAGAGAGAGAGAGAGAGAGAGAGAGAGAGAGAGAGAGAGAGAGAGGGGCGGGAGATAATACAATAGGAGATTCTCTTCCGAAATTAAGTACGGAACGCCTCGACAATTCGTCTCGCGAAATCGTACTTTCATGAAAACGTGACCAGACTTGGTTTCCCGTTTTACACAAGTATACCCATTCAATAAATCCTTGAGAAAGTCCTCCCCTATTCTTCGATTTTCGCTCGCATTAACGCGTATAAAGTACTATATCGTGTATTTCAATATAAAAAAGATCATCGAGGGACCACAAATATTTCTGTAAACTCGCCCGACAAGAACACATGTTACAAGAATATTAACCCGATGAAAAAAAAAGCTAAATTACATTCTGTAACCCCTTGTGTCGTTATAACTCTCTGTAACTTTCGAGTTGCACACCCACGTGTGCATCTGTATTTTTTAATTAAATTTTGCTTGTTCGCCACTGTGCGTTATTGTGATTCCGAGCCGGTAGTAATATCACACCAAATAGTCGGTTTATAACAGCAGTTATTAATAGATCCCCCATTTCTCACGATAGGGACGTTGGCAATGTTTCAAAGAAACAATAAAATATTTGCGGATACAAATTTAACTATTGATTTATATCCTATGCGGGAAGGGGGAAGAGACCGATGCTCGCTGCTTCCCCCGCTGCGTTTTCTTTCTTTTTTTTGCAAAAGCAAAACGTTGAGCTGAGGGAAAGAGGGGTCAAGCCAAGTGAGAGTAAAAATGTCCACGGCGGGTCAGCGGGTATACAACATTCAAGTATCGCCGCTATTCTACCGCTAATTCCGTCGGATCACATCTTTTGCAGGTGCCGCACGAGAACACTGTCCAGCATCCGCCGTTGGCACCCTTCAGCACTGGCGGCATTCCGAACAGTCTCGGGCTGCGACTAGAGGCCGAGCCGCGACACTTTGAGAGCGGCGGCGGTGGCGGTGGTGGCCTGGTGAAGATCAAGTGCTTCGCGGAGGTGGGCTCGCGAGTGTACGAAGCCGAGCGCACGGTGCCGATGGCCTACGTGAATAACCAGAAGCTCAGCGCCGGTGATCACTTGCACGCGGCCGCGCGCAGCGTCCGCGCCGATCTACTCGTCCCGTTCGCAGTCTTCGCGCTTCTACTCCTCACGACGTGACCGCCTATCGCTGCTCTCGCGTGAGTCGGCTTTCTCGGGAATAACGTTCTAGCGGGCGCTCGCGCTAGCGCAACCGCGCGGCAGGTTCAGTGTCAGTTGTCCGATCCTTACGTATAAAAAGTTAGGCTTAGCGCGATTAAGCGACGACACGCTCGGGCACGGCGATCGCACGACCGATCGCCGAGCTCACGTCGGCGGAGAGATCGAGCCGCGACCGACGATCGAGGTTTGCACTCACGATCCGATCGCGCTCGCTCGCGCGCGCGCATCCACCACTCACTCACACCTATCCATGCATACACACACAGCCATAACGAAAGATACAGATTTCGTCGTTCGTTCGCCGATCCCGTAAAATAATTCCCGTAAAAATAAAGTGAAGGATGAAAATCTGGTTGAGACGAGACGATCGTACGTACGACGGTGCGGTGAGGAGGTAAATTCGCGGTCAGTTGCGTGACAGTTGTGTGACTGTGCATTTTAATTATATTCAATTGATTTCAGATTGCGCTGTGTACTCGTACTCGATGTCTGTTATTTTCATTTATCGTCACGTCAATTGTTGAGCTTACGGACGTTGCACCGCATCGATTTCTGGATAAAGAGTCTTTCTCTCTCTCTCTCTCTCTCTCTCTCTCTCTCTCTCTCGCGAGAAATTACGCGTTCGGGATCGATACATAGCGCGCTAGTAATTTTGTAGACAGGAAGTAGTCGGACGAGCGCGCTTCTCCGCATATTTTAAGCGACTTTATAGATCAGTATTCCCCGTTCGTCGGATACTTAGTCGAAAGTTTCCCCGTAATTTTCGCAGCGGTGGCGGCGGCGGCGGCGGCGGCGGCTCTCACTTCGATTTCTCCTTATCATATTTAACTCCCGATCCTTTTAACGAGTTCCAGGTTGGGGGACTCTTTTAAAGTTCCCATCGATTGCGGCTCGCAGTCGTCATTAACTTCTCATTCGAGTTTTAAGATTTTACTGCTAATAGCGAATGTCGCAAGCCAGATAGCAGATAGCACGAGCAGAAAGTTGTCGTATAATAATAACGATCGGCGATCGAATTTGACGTCGACGTCTCAGGCGCATTCATTCGAAAAATGTCACTTCATCTCAAATTTTGTTGAGAAACGGTAGCCTTTACTCAGACTGTACGTTCGAACGTGTAAAAATTGATTTCACGTATCAGACTGCGATGTCGATTCAACAATCAGCATTACTATAGATTCATCTCTGTGCGATTTTGCGTTGACTAAAATCGTCCAACTTGAATAAACTTGCGAAACTGCGATTCATTGAAATTCTTTAACAAGGATATAATTTGTAAATTCGCGCTTGATTCGCGTCCGATTGTCTCTCTTGGTATCCGTTCTGCTTTACTACTCAGCACGACAATTACAGCCGTGGGATTTAGATCGAATCGACTGTACTTTACACGACATACAGCGTCGTACAGCGGGGTTATAAATTCCGGTACAATGCGTGCAAATTCCGTTTTACGGCACGCGTGAGATTAACTACCGAAACGCATATAAGTCGCCGTGGCTGCTATCGTGCGAAACGCGCCTGCGAATTACGCATAAATCGATAAATGGATTTACCGTCCTGTCGTCCCGACAAAGCGAAATTAATATTTCGGATACCGCGCATTGCAAAATGTGATTATGCGACGGTTACAATTACGAATAACAATTTTATCGAGAGAGTGACGAAGAGGGAGACCCTCAGCAGGATCGCATGTATAAATTAAAAATTCGCGATTATTCCGACGAAAATGGTTTTTACGTCGGTTTTCGTGCGACATGAATAATGACTCGGAATAGCGTGGAAATTTTAGTCAGGACTCGATACATTTATTCTGTCATAATGAAAGAATATAAAAGCATAACGTCACGAGGCTCACGCACGAAATTAATATACTAACATATTCATAGTTCAGTGTGTGTATGTGTGTGTGTGTGTGTGTGTGTGTTGAATTGTCTAATCAACAATTTATTTTGTCGGGATTTTATTTCTTTTTGATATTTTTGCAAGTTAAATTGATCACAGCGTATTCGTTATTTCGTTCGCGAACAAAACTTACTCTTTTCAATTCGCGCACGCATGCGCGAGCGTGGTCATTATCACGGAGAATATTTCCACGCGGTTGTGAAACTGTATGGATTTTCCGCAAGTTGAGAATATTCGGCGGAATATTTGGTGATCTTTGAACGCGTCACGTACGATCGTCATTGACGAGTCCAATGGATTTCCACTCCGGCGAGTGTAGCCGGTGCAGTTTCACGTGTCTCGTCGTTGACGACAAAAGGCGTTTGGTTGCGAGAGAAGCGAGCACGGCGAGCGCGAAGAAAAGAAAATCCTGAGAAAAGATTCCACGAGGAGGAGGAGGAGGAGGAGGAGGAGGAGGAAGAAGAGGAAGAGGAAGATGAGGACGGTCCATTCGACTTCGGTGCTTTTCGGTGAGGACGTTATAAAGTAGAAGTAAGCGTGGCAGGAAAGTAAGAGAATGCGAGTGCGAGAGCGAGTGAAACGACGGAGAAAGTGAAACAAAGTTCGTGCGATCGGGGAAAGAAAGAGACGTGCAAGAAGAATAATACAAGAGCGAACAGTAGGGAGACAGAGACACGTTGTGCGCGCGATCCAAGTAGAAACACGAAGTTTGACTTCGAGAATGAAAGTAGGTGTGATATTCTAGTATCTAAGGCGTGACTCATCGGTCTTTCAAAGTGGCCATCTTCGTGTCGAAATCGCGGGATTCCCCTTCCTCCTCAGCAGGTGATTTTTCATAATCGAAAAATTTATTTTTCACGATTTACTTTATTGCTCACACGATGCGCAAATCCATCGGGCTATATCGCGCCGATATCCTATTGTTGTGCTGTTTTTGCCGCCTGCTGCTCGAGAGCGAATTCTTTAACGACGAGATAACGTCGTATGTTTCAATCTCTCAGAATTGTATAAATCTGATCGCATGCGTATTACACACATATGTACACGGAAAACAGACCTTTTTGATCGACGTATAGACACCCAAGGTCCGAAATTACCGAAGATGGCCGACTTTCGAAGAAAGCGAGTGACTATGGAAATAAACGGTAAAACGCGGGGGCGTACTTCAGGTGCGAGTGAAAACGTGAGAATGAACACGACTGGCCTCGCCGCACATATCACATCGCGACGACACGTTAACACATGTTCAACACATGCGCACAAACACACACACACACACACGGACACACACTGCACATGGCCTCACGTGCGCGCACGTGTGTCTGGATTAAGAGATGGAAGGAGGAATTATCACTCCTGCTCCCTCTTCTCCGCAGAGTGCGCAGGATGCGCATATATCACGAGGCAGTTTCCTTTCGATCTTCGCTCTATCGCTCATCGAGCCGAGTATTATTATTTATTATTGACTGTAAAATAATTTACGAGTTCGCGAGGGACTCGCTGCGTGTAAACGTTGCTTCCGGCCATGACTTTCGGTGCGTAGGCGGTGGGTATACGTGCCATTTATCGACCCGCAGAAAATTCCGGCGCGCATATTTGACAGCCACTACGGTAGGGAAGCGCCAACAACGAGACCGACATTTTTCGCACTCTCGCCTGCATCGTTTCTCCGATCGGACCCATTTATGCGCGTGACAGCGTGGCAAGAGGGAGTTTCGTTCATAATAATTGATAAACTGCCACTTCTTTTCGTATACAATCTGTAGTCAATCTCGTTGACAACGATGTCGTGCAACACTTTTAATCTTCTCATGCGATATTTTGTCGAGAGAAAGAGAGAGAGAGAGAGAGAGAGAGAGAGAGCGGGGGGGGGGTACGACACTTTTTGCACGCAAGATGCACGAGACGCAACGCGCGTTCGCGCACTAGACGCGTAAAAGTCGAACAGCGGAAACTCTGAAGGAACGGTAAAATGCGGGGTGACGTTTGTTGTGACGAGAGTCAAATGCCTCGACGAGGTGAGCAAGAATCTTCGAGATATGCTTTTGTAGGTTCGAATATAGATATGCACGTCTCTGTCTCTGTTTCTCTCTCTCTCTCTCTCTTTCTCTCTGGAAGAGGATGTTTCTTCTATCCCTTTACGTGTTACCGCAATCAATAGGCACTTTGCTTTTATAGGTCTATAAAGTTTGACACGGGCGCTGAAGTTCGCGGCGGGTGCAGCTTATTCTCTCACACGCGAGCCGAACGAAACACGGATTTATCGCGCTTGCAGAGCGCTTTTGTTAACGATAAACCATTCGTCGATAAATGGCTCAAGTTTGCAATGAGAGAGAGTTTGCCTAATCGCTCGAAATGTTCGAGTCGGCCCGTGTCGGTCGAATCTTCTTGCAATGGTTTTCTCGTAAAATCGTTACTCATACGCTCTCGACAGGGTGTCAAAAGCGATTTATCGCAAAAGTCGTGCGTTATTTCTCATAATTTGGTCATATTCGAGAAAATTTGGCCCACCGGCCAGTGGGATACATCAGCGAAATTAATTTCTTCGATCAAACAATCCGGAGCGTAACGCCGTATTATTTTGACTAATTCACTCGTATGTTGTACTAATCCGGCTAGTCATTCTCCGAATGAAGTAACCTGTATTCGAACTAACGTTCCTCCTTCGTATTTCAAATACGAAATATCTTATCGTTTTAAATATCGAGTATATAGTACAATTGTGCATATCGCGATTTTATTTCTACTCTAGTAACTTAGTGTGAATACACACACACACACACACACACACACACACACACAGTTTTGGCGTAATTCCGAGTCGAAAGTTTAACTTTACGCATGCCAATTAAGTAATTTACAATTCAGCTATCATTCCTTCCTTTGCGACATATTGGTACGATAATATTCGAAAAATAATAATATATATATACCGCAAATCTAATTTTCATACGCATGTATAATTCGAGCGTAATAATTCCACGATGATACTCGTATCGCGTGAGCAGAAGCATGGCGATATCGAAAGCGTTTGTGCAATATCGGCCGATCGCGAACATAACCGAACGCTCTCATCGCTGAAAGTTCCTATATTTGCTTAACGTTATTGGTGTCGCGAAAATGCAGCTGGTCCCAGGTGAACGTCTAAATCGACACAACGGTAAGAATTTTCTTCGCCGCGACCTCTCGCGATCGATATCCCAATTTTACGGCCCGTCGAATCGCAAAAGCTGGAGGCAGGTTCAAGGATCCTCTTTGGTGCCGCGCGGCTAGATCCCTCTCGCGTTCTCCGGAAAGACTTAAATGGATTCCTAGTGGAAACTTGGATGCAGCAAACGGTTTCCGTTTCGACGACGGAAGATACTGCCATCGAAATTTCTGTGCGGGAATTTCTGTATCTCGTCGCGCGGTTTTCAACTCGCAGTTTCTCAATCGCGTTTGTCATTCGTACGTTCAAATTACTGGCCACGTCTTATCGCGGAAAGGGTTTAAGGTGTAAATCGGAATAACACCCTAAGCTGCAATGGCATAAATTTGCATCCGACGTTAACAATTAATAATCTCGCCTTGCAATAGGAATTTACCGACGATTAATATTTTCTTCAAAATACACATTGTCTGGGAAGGACGCTTCAGTACAAGGAGTGGAAAACTGTAAAATTTATAGCTGCAAAGCTATTTCGGTAGCAAGATCACCAGTTGATATTTCAATTTTACAGTCTGCCGAGCTCCAAAATTCGAAGACGCGCGAGACATCGACTGGAGAATGTCTTCGAGATCCCCTCCGGATCCCGCAAATTTGCGTCTCGTTGAAGAATCCTTCACTGGATTCCTCGAAGAAACTTTGTTACTTCTCTCTCTCTCTCTCTCTCTCTCTCTGCGTTTTTAGATCTCGAGTTTTACGGATAGAGCAAAGCTCAAAATAAAACTTCCGCGCAATTTATGACCCCCAATTCTTTTTGTTTGTCATCAATTAAATATAAACTCATGTAACATTTATATCTCATGTATACGGTATACGATATACTATGTTCTCACAAGATATCCTTATGTCCTTCACTTACTGACCGAACTTTCTTACACGTTCTATATTCGATGTTTTTCGATGTTTTCGATGTTACAACAACGGGAGAAACATGCGTAGCTGAAATCGATTCATTTTAATTATAATATTATACATATACATATATCCTTGGTCAGAGGTATATCAAATCTTTGGCATTCGAACACTGCCACGATAAATATTATCCAGACTGATCGGAAAACATCTTACAAGAATTTTAACACGACTTGCAAGGCGATTCAAACTTCTTATCAGGATTCGTTTGTATCGGAAAACGAAAGAAACATCGGCGCCTGGCATAATCCAACAGTTATATACCTTCAAATTAATCTGTTTGTGAAGGAGAACGAGAGAGAGAGAGAGAGAGAGAGAGAGAGAGAGAGAGAGAGAGAGAGAGAGAGGGGAACATAAACACGCAACTACTTTTTATTCCGGGTCGATGGAACTACGCGCGTTCGCACATATCGTACGGGGTTAACACACAGTCGTAAACATTCTCTCTGTTCGCCAATCTCCAACCAAGTGTGCTGGCGAATCCGATAAAATCGTAGATCGAAGAGCAAAACGGAATCTCTTTGTATGGGCGCGATCGATGCCGCGATTTTATGAGCCGACGACCGACGAAAGCTCGCGAAAGGCTACGTAGTCGAAATTCGCTCTCTACTTCGCACGTTTTGCCGATTCCTTTCGTTACTCGCCGCGCACGAATCCCCGCGTTGCGCTGTAAAATGCGACGACCTTAAAAAGACCGTTGAGAGAGGCGACGATCGTACGTATGCGCGGTTCTCGCGTATCGTTGTGGCATTTTTCAGATCGCGCAAGTTGGTCCACGATGGTTTCGATCGCGACGGATGACGCCTACTATCGATCACGTCGCGTGGATCGCTATTGTAAGGTTTCCTCCTTTTTCTCTCCCTCCTGAGCACCCTGTGGACGCTGCGTGCGTGATGCTTGGCGGTAATCACACTGATACACATTCACAGAAGGTACCTTCTGAAAACATATAGTGCACACAAAATGTACGTTACCGGTCTACGAGAACGTTAGATAGGAGATTAAAAGTCCCTAGCGATACGCGTTTAACATTAATGTATAAATCGTTACAAAAGTATTAATTTAATTAATTCAAGTGTTAATCCCCTTGTAATTATAGAAGCGCACTTGCGAGCCACGATCAAATCTTGTTAGTACATATAGTGTATTCAAAGATATCCGTATTTGATGTAATCGTGGATCGCGAAGGTTCTCAAGCACCTGAAGGAAGGTTCAAGGATTACGATCGAGTTAGATTAAACTTTCCTGGAAAAACTGAGATTCACAATTATCTTTCGTTGCACTAAGAATTGTCAGCTTCCCGAGGACAAAGGGACTTGTCTAGTGAAATGAAATCAAAGTCTCTCTCTCTCTCTCTCTCTCTCCCTCTCTCTCTCTCTCTCTCTCTCTCTCTCTCTCTCTCTCTCTCTCTCTCTCTCTCTCTCTCTCTCTCTCTCTCTCTCATTTTCTTCCGGATAATCAAAATTATATCAATTTGCACCGACCTCGATGAGTTGGGATCGACGAAATGATCTCGATCGATTTCGTAAAATTATTCAATATACGGAAAGATGGATTTAGATATGCGAGTGAGATTCAAGATGAGGTTGACGGAAAATTGTAGGATCTAACGTGAACGAATCCATGAACCTTCGTTCGTTGTCCTTTGTATTTTTGAGCTCATGGGTGCGCTATCAGGATTTATGGCAACTTGGTGAAAATTGTGCTAGGGACATTATAGCTGTCAACGTGATTATGACGAAAGATTAAAGTAAAACATATTACTTAAGTAGCTCACGCGTACTGATACAAGGTGTTCCGTTACATTCGGACGTCGATTGTCCATAGCGAATTTAACGAAAAGTCTCTCTTCGGCGCGAAAAGTAGACGGATGATTCAATCGAGAGAAACAATCTTGCATTAAAGATATTTCCATTTCTCAGTTGAACTTAGTTGAATTCCGAAAATGGACCTTTTTTCAATTTGCTATTTCTCAATTTGAGAAGGGGAGATACAGAGAAAAATTTCAAATCCACGAAGAATTCACTTTAAGCTCAACCAACTCTCTGTTAGCGACGAGACACCTGGTATGTACGTACGCGTGTATGAGAGAGGTGATCTTGTGCGATGCGATATACTTTATTATGTCGATTAAGGACACGCGCGGGAACTAGCGTAACTGACCATATAGTATGGTGCGAGCGTGAGAGACGAAAACGGTAAATATTCTTCGTACAATGTAAGTATACACATGATGTAAGGTGCTCCTACGAAAGGAGGAGAGTATTCGACCGTGTGTAAACGCGCGGGTACGCACGCAATGTGTAGGCGTGTGCCGACGTGCCTGCGAGCGGTTAAGTGTTTCAAATAATCTAAGAACACACGGACATTTGTGTGTGTACGTATAAGTAATATTAATTGTAAAATGAATATATCGATGAAAAAGGAAGAGAAGAGAAAGATTCAAAGATTACACACACATACACACACACACGCGCGCACACACACACGCGCGCACACACACACGCACGCACATACACACACACACACACACACACACACACACACACACACACACACATGTACATATATATATATAAAGATAAAGATAAATATATAAATATATAAATATAAGTATAAATATAGATATAAATATATATATAAATATAAATATATATATTGCAATAATTGCCACTATAAGTTGTCGAGTGTTTTACGCGTACATATATGTGCGAATGTATGTGTGTGTGTGTGTGTGTGTATGTGTGTGTGTACGCGTGCGTGTGCGTGTGCACATACATCATTGAATATATATTTTATAGGTTAGACCACATACGTTTTTGCTAAATCGTCGAATCAAACGACAAAGTTATTACGACAGTATGCTCGTAACGACACTGGATGATTATTGGAAGGGACGATATACCTTTCTGTTTAATTTCTTTTTGGTGGATATACATTTTTCTATGTATTTACTTGCTGCGTTTAATACTGTAATGTAATACGTATCGTTTGTTGACTTTTATCACGATTTATATCTGCATACGTTCTTCGCTCATTCATTCGTTTACGTAGACCCATCTAGATTTATATCGCGTATCGAAATATCTGTGATTAAACGATTGATTTGTAATTTTTATTCCTAGGGAGATTATACGATATAGCATATTAAATAAATTGGATCAATTAAATATGACTTGAGATATCTCGTAAGTGAATCGACCAAATTCACGCGTTTCTTTGTTCCTCATCCAAGTTCTTTCCAAGTTTCGTCTGTACTTTGCACAGCAATTACAATTAAATTTAGAATAATTTTTCGCCCCTTGGACTCAAAGGTTCGGTTAGATTCGAAGATTTAACCGTAGCATAAAATATATAATAAATTTTTTCTCAGTGTACCATTTGTTTTTATTATTTGATTCGAAAACAACATCAGGAAGTACGCAAAGGACATTAAGCACATGCTGCGATAATTCGAATAAATTTGAACTTCGATTATCAAGGAACAACTAGCTTCGTTTAAACGTTTATTGATACCGAATAAAATCCTGCGAAATCCCGGCTTCTCAGCGGCCATGGAAATCACCGCATAAATGCGAACAAAAACGATAAAACAGAATCCACGTGTGAGCATGAGTACGTGACGATGTTACCAAACTCGGTCACTTGCTGTCTCCCCCCAGAGTAGTTGCGGCATTAAGTTAAAAGAGCTGCTTTTACGAGTGAGGCGAGATTTTATTCTTCCGTCATAGTCTCACGTCACGCTCGAATTTTCGTCGGAACAATAACACGATAGCAAACGAAGCGCTGACTGTGCGAGTAAGAGGAAACGCGCATGCATAGGTCAATGTGCACGTATGAGAAGATATAGGATTGATGTCTGAAATAACATACCGATCTATGCCGATAACGCGATTCTTACGAGAGGGATAAAGATTCTCTCCTGCGATTTCTGCGGCTATATGGTTCTCTCTCTCTCTCTCCCCCCCCTCACGAAATATGTAACGATAGAACCTTAATTGCACTTAATTTGCACACATACACACACACACACACACACGAGTCGTCGTGCCTCGAGTTTATGAATTTCACGACTTTGTTATAACACTGCACGAGCAAATAACAGCGCGAAACATACGCGCTTCATAATTATGCAAATCATTCGAAATCAGGAACGAACAGTCGAGCTGAGACTTTGAATTACTTGGTGCGGCGCGAATAAATCATTGTGAGTTATCGCGGTGATACAGTGGCGCGTGCATATTTGATGTGTCATCTGCATACACAATGCTTATTGTCGTCGTTCATTGTAAGAAGCCGAAATACGCTACTTGGGCAAAGCACAAAACGCCGCATCGAGCGGTCGTAAAAATAGCAGACGTGACTGGAGCATAACGCGCGGCGAAGATTACGAGAAGAAAACGGAAGTAGATTCGGCATAATGCGGACTGGCGCAGGCGCTCTCCTGTACGGCACATTATTTTTGCGCTCCGCTCCGCCGCGCCGGGGTCGTCCGGGGAAAGGATGTGCATTTGCATGTAATTCTACGCGTGCGAATACCTGTATACTACATACGTATACCTCGTATACGTACCTCAAAGTGCACGCAGATTCACGTGCGAAGAACGGCACTCGCATCCCAGCTGCACGATACACGCGCGTACGCAATGTGCATACAATAAATGTTTTCCCGTATATGCGTGTATACGCGAGAAATGCTGCAGATCTCTACAGAATGTCCTCTTAATAATAAATGTGAGAAGGCGTGGTCAAGTAAATGGCAATTATTTCGATATTAAAGATGTGAGATAATTTTACTAAATTTCTCGACTTTTTACTCACTCATTCACTCTCTCTCTCTCTCTCTCTCTCTCTCTCTCTCTCTTTCTCTCAATTTTTAAATTATATATAAAGCCGATAAAAGTATGCTTATTGATAATTGCATTTTTATTTGTACTTTACTTTTACGCACAGACACCGCCGATTGTTTAATGACAAAATTATTACAATGTAAAAGAACGAGCGAAATTAGAGCAAATATCAGTTTTTGTCCGTTTTTTTTTTTTTTTAATTTTATTCAAAGTTGTACGGCTATGCAGGAACCATGATAGATTCGCGACACGTGTGCGTACTTATGTGCGGTGAACGATAAAAATATCCGTGATATATCCACGTTTTATCTCGGCGTATCTTCTCGTAGAGTCGACGACGCGCACAATTTCCCCACGCAGTTTGCACGTCGCGGGATGAGCCCGGCCACGATATAATGCACGAGATACTAATTACGAGTCAACTGTCCGACAAATGTCTATTCTTACAATCGTCTATTCTACTACGGGATCCTGATACCTAGAAAGGTATTAGTGATGACACCAAAGATTGGAAACTTAAGGCGCGCGCGATACTCGATATCTCGGGAATTGCGATGCTTGTTTTGAATTGCCGGCTGCAATTTGCAAATAGCCAAGCATCGCACCGCTTCTCTGTAGAACTTATCGGGGAATTTGATCTCGATACAATCTGCGCACAAACTGCAGCTCTCGTCTCACTGTGCACACATACGCATACATAAACGTAATTTATTATCTTTAGAATTCCTTCATAAGTATTAAAATTGTTGATTTACCATAGTTCGATATCAATGTAATCATATATATCTCGAGTACAAAACAAGAGTATAATATAAACTAAAATAATATAGCGCACGCTACTGATGAATATATAAAATATTAATAAGCGTAATAGAAAAGGCGAAAAGAAAAGGCGGGGAGATTGGAGATCGAAGGGCACTCGGGCACTTGGAACAGCTGTAAAATAAGTGTCGTGAAGATTTAGCGTCAAGATAGCTACTTTTTGACAGATCGTTGATTGTATCGTAAGGCGAAATGATACGGTAACATATTTGAAGAGTTACCGCATAGGAGGAAGCGGCATAAATTTTAATGCCGTCGTGCCGTCGTCCGATAGCAACGATGTGCAGAAATAAGAATGGAAACGGAAGAACAACAGAGAATCTCAAACTTGGACGATACGGCAGAATTCGCAAGCGGCGGCAAACTTGAGAGAGTTGAGCAAAGGTACGAAAAACTCTTTGTACCTTAAACTTGCGGAGCGACCGAGAGAAGGGAAAAAAAAACCGCGCCATCGCGCGCGCTGCAAACGCGAACGAAACTTGAAATTTTAAGAGCAAACCATGGAGATTTGCATAACCAGATAAACGTCTCGTTCATGACGTTCGGAACAGTTAGGACTTTGCGCGTAAAAATAAGAGTGACGATGATCGAGTCTGGTACTTGTACTAAAATTTCACAAACGTACTAGGTGCTATCGACATTGACGAGTCGTTATAATAATGGCATACATACCGTTATTGATTTATTAAAATCTACAAAACTAACGCTCTTTCTC